GAGAGCTAAATCTATAACTAGAGCAGATTTAGGAGATTGAAAGTTTCATTTTCAAAAAAAAAGGCCCAAAGCACAAATTTCCCCGAACATTTTCAAAAAAGTGTAATTGATATCCTAACATTTTAAAAGATGCAATGTTGACATGATGTTTTTCAAAATATTACAATTTTACACTACCATGACAGAAGACCTATGTTGATTGTTAAACCGTTCATTTTGACCAAGATCTGCACATATGGCAGGTTATTTGGTCTGGATTGGCTTAAAACTTGTTTCCCATACATCCTCATGTGGCTTCTCAATTTCTCAACGTTGTTCAATTCTTCGCTAACCATCGACATCTTTTTTGCATCTCCACAATCTTCATGCCTCCCCTGGATTTGTCAATGCCCCCACAGCCCTACCATGTGCAAGCTGTAAAGGTGAAGAAGGTCATGTTCTTTGTTTAACATTCGAACAAATTTTAACCTTGGTTTATTAACCTGATGAGGGTAATTAGTGAGTTAATGAGATGTGTGGCCAGAGGGGCTTAACTTAGCATAATTGTTGTGATTTTAGCCTTAGAAGTGGGTCCGAATCGATAGCAGGCCACCCAGGCAAGGAAAAAGGATGAAAAAGTAAAGAATTATTTTCTGTGCCACCCGCCACGATGCGTGGTTAGTCCACTGCGGTGCATGGAGACAATTTAAATGTAACAAGCTCCTCAGTGCCATACGCCACGGTGGAGGGTGGCGCACGATCAAAAATTAAATATATCTGATTTGTTTTGCAAGAGAAAAATAAAAGAAGAGGAAGAAGAAAAATAAAGAGCTCAGTTTTGACTCTGCTAGGGCACAACATTGGATTCTATTGAGGCTAGATTGAAGCTCCCAAACACTCAAGATAGATAATCTAAGTCTTATTCTTCCTTTCCCTCCCTCATTTATGATGACTTGTGATAGGGTTTGAGTTGAAAGATAGATTTTTGGTCCATAGGAATATGGGTCCAATTCTATTGGTTAAAATAAGTATAATAGGAGTTGTTTAATGTATTGAAACACCACATAGATGATTTTAGAAGTGGTTGGTCCATGAGAGCATTTATTATTCGAAAAGTAATATTTATAAAGTAGTTGAGAGAGATTAATGTGCATTAATGATGGTTTGAAGTGTTATTAATGATAATGTGCATTAATGAAATCTAATGAGCCCATTGGGTATGAATGGGTTAATTATGAGTTGATTAAAATAGAGTGTGTGGAGTTTTATGTTGATAAAGCTTCAAGAGTTAGACAATAATGAAATTCTTGTGAAATGTTTGTAAAGAGGTTCATTTCGGCACCATTCGAGCTTGTTGAAGCTTTAAGAAGTTGGTTTAGTGAGGGATAAACCTTTGACCTCTTAAAGGTTTGAGATAATCAGGAAAAACTTTACATTTATGGTTGAATATTAATTGTGTTTTATGAAACATGGTGAATGATTTAAATGTGTGATGCATGTTGGCAATGTTGATTAGTGAAATGATTTTGGGAAAGAAATGATTATGCCACTTACTTGTGATTTAAAAGGTTTACTTGTAGCATGTTACAAAAGTGAAAATTTGTAGTATATAATATGTTGAATGCGTGGAGTAGTTGAGTTATTTGAGCTTATGTGTTATGAATTGATTGTTGAAATGCATATCATGTGAGAAATGTGCATAGTATGATCATTGACGAGAGTTCGCCTAGAGAGAGGAGTAGATTGGTTGAAATCTACGTGATATTGGCAGTGACCGTTCGAATTGAGAACTAGCCTTGGCACCAACCATTAGAATTGGGAGGTAGCCCTTATTCTATAGTTGATTCGAGACTATCCCACTGGTTTTATAAGGGACTCAAACCTAACTAGTCTCCGTCGGTTCATGAAGAGGCTAGATTAGAGGTACGACACCTCATCGTTTTAGTATTGGGGGAAACTGGATTATATAAGTGAGTGAGTTCACCCTGGCTCGGTAACTCCTCATAAGTGGAAGGCTATGTTAGTTTGTGAAGGACGTAGCCACATAATAGCCACTGGTTTTATATCGAAGGTAACAGGAGGATATAAGGTTGGCATCTGATCATGCATATAAGTCCAGCCACATGGTTGTTAGTTTTATGATCCGACATGTGTTGAGGGTGCATGGTTATTATTTTTGCGACCCTGTGTTAGCTAAGAACTTGATAAAGTGTTTTTATGGCAAGCCCAGTCATATGGTTGTTAGTTTTGTGAACCGTAGGCGAGAGTTATGTGATATATATACTTATTTGCCTAATTGTATCTATTTACAATTGATATGCAACTGTATGGGTTCAGTTAAACTTGGTTATTGAGTGGTTGTACTCACCCCTCAATTCTCAATATTTTCAGGAACTAGCTCATCGGATCCTAGTCAGGAAAAACACACAAAGGCTTAGAATTTATGGAGTAAATCCTTTATATGCCTCTCTTTAGTTGATTTCATGTGTATTTGTTAATGTAATTGCCAACTAGGATTAATTGACATGATTTATGCACTACTTATATGATTTTGTGTATAACTAGTGTATTTTGTGCCCTGAGTTAGGGAATTTTAGTTGTGAACCCATGGATAGGGCCAAAATACTTGTTCAAGTAGAAACATATATATTTTGTGAAATTTAAAATGAAATGGTTGAGTTTGTGTAATAATTCCTCCCCCTTTATGTTTTTGTAAAAATTGGAGTTGAGTGGTAATTTTATGAAATAATCATTTTTGGTTCTGTGTGGTGTGTTGCACAAGTTTGTAAGAGTCCATTGAGTGTGGTCGGATGGTTTGTGTAAGTTATTAGCACATGTGATTGAGTTGGGACACCCCATTGGGAGATTTTGTGAAAAAAGTAGTTAAAATGGGTTTTGGTGTCCTACTTTGTATAGAAAATGAGTTTGAATGTGAAAATGGTGCCATTAGCTAGAGTTAGGAGAAAACTTCATGGAGACATCAAAACCACATCAATCGAATATTAGACAGAGATTTAGGATGTGTCAAAAGTTCACCTCCCGAGCTATCAAATAACAGCACTGATCTATCAAATTTCGTGCAATGCGCCACGACGTACGGTGCCTCATGCCTCGATGCATGGCACAAAGAAGACACGTCGTGATGCACAAGCCGTAAGCTGTGGCACACATATCACTTTTTACCCTAAATCTGTTTTTGAGTTTTAAAACTCATTATTTGGATCCCAATTGATTTTGAAGCTTTCACTTTATTTTCAAAACTTTGATTTGGGATTATTAAAGCATGTTTGAGATTTGAATTGTCTAGATTGGAATTCCTTTAAAACATATTATGTGAAATTCCTTTTATAAACCCTACAGTTGGGTAATCCTTTGAGGTTAAAATCCTGGATTATCATGATTTGAAGTTAAATATGGTTTAACCTCAGGGAGGTTACATTTTGATTTGGCTACAAAGGTGAAGAAGCCAATATCAATGTCTGTCAAAATCAGTCTTTCAAATACGAAGCTCTACAGCTTCATCTTCTCTCTTCCTCTTTCAGATCTAAAGCCCATATGTTGTCTTAATCGTGGAAGAGTCAAATTATATGGAAATTTATAAGAAGAGTAGGGTTTCAAAGATTGAAAAATGGGAAATTGAAGTGAACAATGAATAACAATAGCTAAAATTATGAACAAAATATGAAAAATGTTAAGGGTCTCTTAGTTTTGATAAGAAGCGTGAGATTGCTGTCGAATTGTAGTAATAGCCACAATGAGGCTTACTTTGGCTTCTCACAGCATTGCCATCTCCCCCCACTCTTTTTGGTATAATAATAGCATAGTAGCAAGGAATACTCTACCTGTGATTGCGTTAATAGACAGGTTAAAGAAAAAGAATACTGTAATTAAGAGCTAGTATGAATCAACATATTTAAATGTCAGGGATGTCGATAGATGCAAAAGCCTTTTCGACTTATGCAGCTCCAAGAACAATGTTAATGACACTAGTTTACAAGACCAAAAAATGGTTCCTATAGGACCAAATTCATTGCACAATAGGTAGATTCATCACCAAGACACGTGGGTTGGATAACCTTGTTCAATTAATTTTCGATCTCGTGCGCTATGGTTTTTGATATGTTCTTAGTTTGCTTGATGGTTTAGATAATATTTGCAACATAGATTCTAGGACAATGTAGTTAGGAAGAAGAAGAAGAAGAAAGAATTGAATAAAAAAAATAAAAATTGGTCCTACTTTAACATAATGGTTCTCACATGGCTGGCGAGTGAGGCATTTAATGGTCAAAAATAAAAGTTAATGGTCAAAGCTTTCAAACTATCAAGGTAAGGCAAAATTATTCTATTTTAAAAAAATGCTTGGGTGATATTATACCTTTAAAAATGTTAAGACTATTTTTTGTTGACTACAATTTTTTGTAAACATCTAAGGCGAATTTGTACTTTGACAAAAAAAAAAAAATCGTTGGCACTCACAAGTCATGACTCATGGGACGAGGATATTGTATTGGAAGAGAGGGTTTAAATTCTTTAGCAATAGCCAAAATGGCATGATGACATTGTGACACTTTTAGACGGGAGAAGTTGTAAGTTCGAATTAATAATTCAATTGATTGTTTTCCTTTTAGTGAGAATTCAATTGTTGTCTTATTACTATTATTTGCTTAGATTGGTTAATTCCATTTTTTATGGCAATAATTGTTAGAGATTACAAGCGGCATTAAATCTATTTCATCTCATGTATACGGGAGCTTACACAGGCTGCACCATAAGGCAATTGGTTGGTTAATTTTTTTTATATGAAGGATTTTTATGAAAATGGAAGTTAAACATCTAGGTTTAATTCTTTAAATCTTAATTAATAATTTTAATCATCATTTTAATGCATAATTTTTGCTGGTTAAAAAAAAGGTAACTGTTTCCCTCCCCTGAAAATTAGCAAATGAGATTGGAGAATAAATTTATCTAAACGACAATGCCCCCCGCCCCCTTAAGCACACCGCCTCCGCCAATCTTTTAGGTCACTCGATTGATTTCTGACAGCAAAAAATAATATTAATATTATATATTCCTGTACTGAATGGTTGTTTTCTGAAGCGAGCGAGCTTCACTACACTACAGCGTTTGTGCGCTCGATCCCTAGGGAATCGTCTTCGCCTTATATGTAACTCCGGAATCAAGATTCGAGTCTCTGTATTCAATCCTCTTTTTCTCTATGTTTTCTGATAATTCTTGTGTATCGGGATTAGGGTTTTATCTCAATTCAATTCTTATTGTACAATTTGAGAATAGAGTTATTTAATTTGTTTCCTCTATTATGAGTCGATTCAATCGAAAATATACACGTGAGTAGTAATGTTTCGATGACATTTGTTTATTTGTGTTGTCTAAATTAGCCATAGCGCATAGGATAGGCATTGCATTAGGGTTAATATTAGGGTTTAGATTTGTTATCCGGTGATGGACATGGACAGCTCGCGGAGACCGTTCGATAGATCAAGAGAGCCGGGTATCAAGAAAGCCCGACTGACCGACGAGCTCGAGCGTGGCTCAAGTTCCAGTCTTCGACCGTTTCCTCAGCGACAAGTGGCTTCTGGAGTTAATTTATTGGCCCCAGCAAGGTTTAGGACAAATGACAGAGATTCCGAAAACAGTGACTCTGGTCGCGGCGGATACCAGCCCCAACTGCTCACCAAGAGCTTGTCAATCAGTACAAAACCGCACTTGCTGAGCTAACATTCAATTCTAAACCGATAATTACCAACTTGACTATAATTGCAGGCGAGAATCTTTATGCCGCGAAGGCAATTGCTGCCACTGTTTGCGCTAACATTCTAGAGGTGAACCCAGTTTAAACTGTGTAGCTGTTTATGTTCTCAATTGCTGACTATATTGAATTGTAAGACATTTGGAATAAAAGGGCGATTGTTTTTAATTCTTGATCTCCCTGAAATCACTATAATTGGTGGCGTTATCACTTATTCTTCGTGTCTGTGCCAAGATTTTAGTGGAAGTAAAATGAGGAACTTTTTGTGTACCACAAGCGTGAAATTAGTTGAATTTCATGATTTTGAAGTACCACTTTCCCCCAAGGTTAATAGTTTCAATTTGAAGCATGCCTGCACGATAATGACGATTGGTGGGAACATTGCAGTTTCCAGCTTAAATGATGATGATGCTTATTTTATCAGCTAGATAAAGATTAACACTATGCTTCATTTGGTTTCTTTCCCAGGGTCTTGCTGAGGCTTTTAGCTGAAGATCATCTGTAGTTGCGATTCTCAAGTTATACATTTTCCACATAAGAAAAATAATAACTGTACTTCATTTATAAAAAATAAAAAAATTATGGAAACCACCCTTCAGCCTTCTGCTATCAGTTCGATCAACTTCATGAGAGCATAATATTAAAGTGATTGTAATTTCATCTGATAAACAGCACTACTATTAGAGATAGGAATTCTAATTCCCCGTGTCAAGTTTGTTGGCAATCCCAAACATTGTTGTAGTCCTCTTTTTTAATTTTGTTCAATTAGGTTATAGAATATCTGCCGCATGTTGTGAATGGTAGGGCTGCCTTATTTTTGTGAAGCAAATGTGTGATTGTTTGTCTGCCTCTCAAGTTTTTAGCTCGTGTTTCATTGGAAATTGGTGAATTACAAAGCAGCTGAATTTTATGTTGAGAATCTATTTACTCCATGGAAGAGACGTAATTTACCAAGCCAAGTTGCATAGCGGCATTGAGCTTATATGATTTCAATTCTATGCTAGTGTCTTGAAGTGAATTAAAGCAGGTTTAAAGATATGACAGATTTGCACATTCATTTTTCCAAGCCAAAGAGCTGCTAGAGTGAATGAGCTATTTATTATAATAAGTAATATCATGCAAGATTTATTTGTTGGCATTAAGATTTTGATTTGTCCGACCCTACCTAGTGGGATAAGGTTTGTTGTTGTTGTAAGATTTTGATTTGTGACTGAGGTGCCGGACTTTTGGAGCACAAAGTAGAATCCATAACTGAATAGTGCTTTTAGATGTTTGGTGCTTTCCCTATTTGCAACCTTATTTATTATGTGCTGCATCACTTTTCTTGTCTTCCAGGGACTGGCTTAAATGCTTGCGTTCATAGAATGACTAGAGGGGCACGTCTCTCTATATTATAAGAAAATAAGTGATAAACAGGTCATTTTTTAGCTCATAGATGTAATTTGCTGGAAAAGATGAGAAGGCAGATTAAATATGATGAACAGCATAGAATTGTTGGAAAGCTGGTGAATCTCTTTTCTAATAAGGAAAGAAGGGATGTCAAAAGTCTGCCTTGTGCCCATAGAAGTGAAAAACGAAAAAAGAACATAATATTTATGATTCATTTTTTGAACTTACATTTAACGAGTGACTCTTGTTGATGGATATGGAATCTGCAATTTAATTAGAAATTTCATCTTACCCGAGTCTTTGAAGAGTCATAATAATCTACATATTTTGAGGAGTGGGACCTCTCTTCCTAATAATCAGTAACAGTGAATTGTTTAATTTTGTTTTCGTTATTTTCTAATTGTGTCACAAGTCTCCTTATTACATGACATAGGCAGGTAGAGCTGGTTAAAAATAAGGAATGGAATAACATTTAATTTTGAATAGACAAGACTGATGGTTATTTTTTGTCATTTTGAGCTTACTACTGTCAATCTGCTGTTACTTCTCTTTTGATGTAATTTGCTGCCAACTGCCATGTGGCTTATGTTTAGCTGGTTCAAATATTTCCCTTATTTACATCTTTCCGAGCAGTTGGTTTTCTAGTTTGATTAAACTCTATATGTTATACATAGAAACTTATGTTGCATCTAATTCTGATTTTCCAGGTTCCCACTGAACAAAAGCTCCCATCTCTTTATCTTTTAGACAGTATTGTTAAGAATATTGGGCGGGACTATATAAAATACTTTGCTGCTAGACTACCTGAGGTCAGATATCTATTCTTTGCTCATCCTTACATTGATCTATATGCCTTTATTTGAAATGTTCTTGTTAATAACATATTTTAAAGGGAATTCTTGATATTGTGAAGATAAAAAAATTATACTTTTAACTATTTAAATTTAGATTTACGAGGGTAATGGTTTTGTAAGAGCTTTTGTTTCCATTTACAATGAAAAATGATTATTTTAATATACAAAGTGGCAAGATTTTACTTTGCATTTTTCCACAGATATCTTTCTGATTTTACACACCTACTTTTAACTAGGTACTTGCCAATTACTCCTTTACATTTTAGGTATTCTGCAAGGCATACAGGCAGGTTGATTCTTCTGTCCACTCAAGTATGAGGCACCTTTTCGGAACTTGGAAAGGAGTCTTTCCACCCCAGACCCTCCAGATGATTGAGAAGGAACTCAGCTTCACTCCTGCTGTCAATGGTTCATCTTCTGCATCTACACTGAGGAGTGATTCACAGTCACAACGACCACAGCATAGCATCCATGTGAATCCTAAATATCTGGAGAGGCAACGTCTTCAGCAGTCAGCCAGGGTAGGTGAAGCATTCCCACCCACAAAATTATCCTTTTAGTTCAGATTGTTGGATATCTTTGGGATAGGTCAAGTTGAGCATTCTTTATGCTGCGATGGTTAGAAAATTTGTGGTCATCGACATGCATTCTTTGCATGTGGAAACTTGGTCTGGAATAGTTTGGCACCATGTCCTAATCTTGTCTGTTGCTTGTTGGGGCTCTATGATATTCGTGCAGCAGATGGGTATTACAAATTTCACCTTGTATGGTTTCTATTGTTTTTATCTGGTCATTCAAAGCCTAAGAACCATGAGACGCCAAGGTTTCCAAAGCTAAACTGCCTAGAAATCTGGTTTGTTAAGGAACCTGAGCTTGCGGATATACACTGGGGATCGGGAACTTTTCTTCTCCTCTCCTCAGTTGGCAAGTTGGGGGTGAGATGTCAGAAAGTAAAACTATTGTAACTTTTATTGATCTAAGGATTTTATCTATACTGTGCAGGCGCAAAAATTATGATTAGTTATAGCAGTGACTTTGCTGTCATGTTACTTGTTTATATTTGTTGACATACATGCCTGTTTTAACGTCATATATCTCATGATTGATTTCTGTGTTCTGTCTTTGTTTGTGCTATGAAGATTAAAGGAACAGCTAATGATATTGCTGGAGCTACTACAAACTCTAGTGATGGTGCAGAAAGGCCAGATAGAGCATTGGGTGCTGCACGGCCATGGATGGATTCCAGCGCTAACATGCATGTATGTGAATAAGTAATTTTTTACTTCCCGCCTCTTCGTTTTTCCTGTATTTTCCCCCTTATGCTATATATATGTCCTAGTCCTTATCATAATGTTGTGAATTGCAGAACATTCAGGGCTCTAATAGAGATTCGTATAATGATTCTGTTCCTGAAAAGGGCATTGGTACATCCTACGGAGGCAATGAATATGGTCCTGATCTTTCAAGGAGTTCAGGTTTGGGTATTGGAAGAGCTGGTGGCAGGACCTCTGAGTTAGCACGTGACAAAACTTGGTACAAAGCAGGCAGCAATGCTGCAGACATGATGTCTGTCCAAAGGAATGGTTTCGGTCTCAAGCGTAGGTTATCAAATCATGAAGCACCAAAGTCCATCATTTTGGATGAACATAATCAGCCAACCCAAAGCTTAACTAGCATAAAGAGTAGTGTCTTGTCAAGTAGCTGGAAAAATTCTGAGGAAGAGGAGTACATGTGGGATGAGGTGAATGCTGGACTGACTGAGCATGGTGCATCCAATGCCTCTAGCAACTTGAGCAAAGATTGTTGGACTGCTGATGATAACAATTTGGTGAGCTTGCAAATGTTAAACATTAGAATCAAAGACTTCATTCACTCACTGTTATTGATTATTTGTCTGGTCTTGGTCTTTATTGAGGATATGTTGAGAGATTTTGTTGAATGCAGATGATATACTTGAGATTTTCTTTCTTGAATGCCATTACTGGTTTATCCCTTAGAATGCAAGAGTTGACTTTAAATTAATTTTAGTTAATGATGTCAGATATCGCTGTTGGAGACAAGTGATCAATGGATCACAGGTGCCCCATCCCCAATTAATTTTTGTAAATTATTTTGACACATCTTTTTAGGATCTGAAGAGGCCTTTTAAAAGACAAATATGAGGGCTTGTTTATATGTTTGACAGTGTTGTATACTGAAGGCCAATATTCAAATAACCACAAGTTTTCGTTGGAGGCCTGATCATCCTGTGGTTTTTCATTATTATGTCTTGCCTGCAGATGGAAACGTTGTTTTTAATTTTGTGAGTGTGTAATGGATATAGCTTGGCCCAATATTTAGCTTGACTTGGGCAAGTCTTCCACTCTTTCTGTAGGCTACTCCAAGTAACTTCTTGCTTTTCCCCAGAGTAATCATAAACCATTAAAACCTTTGTATAGTGAAAGATGTTCCAAGGGGTTGACCTTTTCCCTTTATTGAATGGCCATCTGATTGGTATGAATTAGCAGTTTTTCATGCAATAACTAGGCAAAATAGGCTGGCCCATTTCTAATTCAGATGGTTATGTTTGGATAAAGAGTGATAACATATCACTTGTCCATGTGCTGCAATGGGATTTAACTAGCAACATATTTTGATGACTGACATGAGATCTAGGCTGGTTTAGTTGACTGATCTTTTTTCCTCTACTCGCAGGCAGTTGAAGATCACCTTCAAAGCATGTTTCAGGAAGATAGAGAAGTATCCACTGAAACAAAACGCCTGCCTGGTTTTGGTCATCGGCCATCATTATCTTGGAAATCTCAGCAGCAGTCATTTGATGAGCCGAATCATAGGCCATGTCCTTCGGAAGGCATTGGATCCACTCTTGGTAGGTTGCCAAACATTGTGAATCCTTCTGATGTCAAAATGGGAAATCGGCCTTTCTTGTCAAGTGCCACATTAGGATCAGTAGGAACAGCACAGCAACAGCAATTTCATTCTGTGGGAGCAGAGTCTCCTTCTAGGCAGTCACCTTTGCGACAACATTCTCCATCACCTCCGGTTAATGTCCACCGTCCTCATCAAATGCAGATTTTGGCTGAGCAAGACCATCCACAGACTCTTAAAATGGCTCAATTTTCAGGACGTCTACAGGGCCAAGATATTCAAGATTCATCATCCATCCTCCCACGTACTGTTCAGGTTGGTAACTCACAGAGATCGCATCAAAAGGACTTGCAAGGTCCATTGTCTTTAGTGTCTACTTTTCAGCCAAGACATCATAATGCTGCTTTGCAGCTGCAGAATCTTGGTTCTAATACTGAAGTTTCTGAGATGAAGGAAACCACAGCCCTCTCTAAAGAAACTAAAGAAGCTTCAGAGCAGTCAACTACAAGTACTATGTTAGCTGCAGTTATGAAGAGTGGAATTTTCAGCAGTGGTCAGCCCGGTACAAGTTTCATGGATAGAAGGAGCCTGACATCGAAATCAGGGGTTCAGCCTACGCAGCCAAGTGGATCATCTCCTACAACGTCCGTTTCTTCAGGGTCTGGGGTTGCATCTCCATCTCAATTAGGTCCTTCTAATGATGACTTATCTACTCTGCCAAAAGAATCTCAAGGAAAGGTTGGAGCTCTGTCAAGCCTGCCTGCTCTACCCCCATCTTCCTCTACTGTGAGTAGTGCCTCAGCCAAGACTTCAAATGCCACCAATAATAAATCTAATCCAGTTTCAAGCCTTTTAAACTCGTTAGTTGCAAAGGGTTTGATTTCTGCAAAAATAGATTCGTCTACTGAGGTGCCTGCTGAGGTGCTGATTCGATTGGAAGATCAGAGCCAAAGCATCACCACCAGCAGTACTCTGCCGGCTGTTTCAGTTACTGGTTCTGCAACTGTTCCTGATTTATCTACCAGAGACAATCAACCTGCAAAAAGTTCTGCACAATCAACCCCTGCAGAAATTAAAAATCTAATTGGCTTTGAGTTAAGCCCAGTGTAATCCGGGAATTGCATTTACCTGTGATCAGAGAACTATTGGATGATTTCCCCCATCATTGCAGCAGTTGTGGCCTTAGGCTTAAGCATCAGGAACAATTTAATAGACACTTGGAGTGGCATGCTATGAGAGAAAGAGAACAAAATGATATGTTGAAGGCCTCAAGGAGATGGTATTTGAGGTCAAGTGACTGGATTGTCGGCAAGGATGAAGTTTCATCTGAGTATGAGGGTATTGATTCCATAGATTTACACGGCAATAAATCAGACAGAAGTGAAGTGGATGCTGAAGTTCCCTCTGATGAAGATCAGTGCTTATGTATGTTGTGTGGTGAGCTGTTTGAAGATGTTTATTGTCAAGAAAGGGATGAGTGGATGTTCAAAGGGGCGGTTTACCTTCCTGTCTCCGGTGGTGGTAGTGAGATGTATGTTGATGTCTGTACTAAAAGGGGTCCTATTGTTCACACTTGGTGCTTATCAGGAGCTCCATATCTAGAGCACCTACAAAGGTAAGGCATTTTGTCTGATGGTGGTGAATAGAATGGTCATCTTTTAATTTTGATGTTTGAGATGCTATAGTGATTGTCTCTGAAATATATTTTGGGTAGGAGCAAATGTATTTTGGTTGGAAGATGATATTGGAATTTGGAAATGAAGGTCCTGTTATCTACTTTATCCTTGCAAATGGCAGGCCTGGATATGTTGCGTTATAGTTTTTTCCCCCCCATTTTTTTGCTGTTACTTTTTGTTTTGCCACTTCACCCTCGTTACATGCTTGGTTCAAATTGAGTGCCGTGTGCAGCCGTCTTGCTTGTGATTTATTAAACCTTTTATATTTTGGCAGGAACAGGATTAGAGCTTTAATTTAGATCATCTGATCGATGGTGTTTTTGTCAGAAGCTTTCGAAGGGCACTCAGGTTTACTTGGCATTTACTTGATTTTCATGGCTCTTTCGTTCTGAATTGATTGATGATTGCCTCTAACTGGGCATAGAGCCATCGAACAAATTTTGTGCTCTCTTTCTTTCTTTCTTTTTTCTTTCCTTGTAGTTTGGGGGGAAAATCCATAGTATTCAATATATAGATGGCAGAAAGTTTTTGCAGCTCAACTTGCCCATTGACGTGGTTGTGTTCCTTTATTTTACTATGGTGTAATGGATTTGCACTTTAGCAGCATCTGGTGCTAATACGAAGCCAGGGCATTGGCAGCCATGTTTGTCACAATTGCTAGATGGCCCTCTCTGTATCGCCCAACAGCAACGACTCTGCTCCCTGCCTCTTCCCATTTCCCCTATCTTACTCTATGCGCGCTTGCACGTCTCACTTTTCTGGTAAAATGGGAGAGGGGGCATTGATTCTGTGCTGGGATAAAATAATAGCAGTGTTTTCATTACCTAGTCTCAAATAATCTGTTGATTGGATTGTGGTTAGTAGTGACTAGTGAGATTGTTGATTGTGAAATTGGCTGTCTGAAGTTCATTTGCTTTGAATGTGTTTCGTTTTTCCCCCTGAACCAGCTATACATGCGTGGGTCGAAAATTGCGCCTGCCCTCCAACGAGAGAGTGAGAACATCTTTCTATGCCTTAATTTGGATGCTTTTATGATTTCTTATACGCGTCGATTGCCCTAATTTAGCAAGGCAACCTGCCGCCAATTTCTCTTTGCTCAAATATTGAAGAACCAAGCTATATGACGCTGATGACTTAAATTTTAACGCATACCAATCTTTGTTGCCAATGTCAATTCCAAATCGATCAACTTTGGTCTAACGAGATTCCGAGCTTCAGTGTCGTATTGTTTGAAGTAGGTGAGTCATGAACTTATACCGAAATCGTTTACTTTGTTAAACTGGATTTTATCTGCGCTGTGTTCCTAAGCTCCTTATAAATGTCGAGTAATAGCACCATATCAGGGCTTAGCATAACCGCTCTCATTTAGTTTTATGACAAATTATAAGATTGGAAATAGACAGATCATGGATACAGCTTTCACATTTCATCCTCATAAAATATGGCCGAACGGGAGGAAGATATTTCGTAGCCCTAGTGGGACTCGTCTCTAGTTAATAGAAGCCGGGAATTTGTATTAAGGTTTATGTTTATAGGCCGGCTTGTGGTGCTGTGTGTAAATGTAATCCAAGTGGGCCTCGGCAATCATCCTCCTCTCACTGCATTCTTCATCGTCGTCGCACTCATCTGATTCCGGTACCTGCATGATATTGCATCCAACGAGAATATAACAAGCTGAAACCAAATAAAACAATCCGGATAAACTTGGTAGCTTGTGTTTTAATCCCGTTTGGATGAGGGATAACATTGTAGAGGCAGAAAGATGAAGCTTATCTTACTTCAACGACATATCGAAGCTCAGTGGATGAGCGAGCATGAGCGACATCAATGGTCTTCACTTCCTTTTCATCTGCATCAAGTTGGATCTCAGGAATTTGACGGCAAAAAAGAGGAAGCGAAACAAGGAGCATCAAGAAAACAAGTATTGTTCGTTGGAGTTACCTTGATTGGGTAGAATCAGGAGAGCAGACGCTGAGAAATGAAAGAGAAGCAGAAGAGAAAGGACGCCGAAGAACACATGAAAGCCTGGTTTCTTCATGGGCTGTTGCAGGTTAGAGTGAGCTAAAGAGAGTGATAGAAAGTAGCAAAGATGTGAGTCTAAAGGAGGTGGAAGAAAGGGGATAAATGGAGGAGCAGAGGATGACAGTCACGAGGAGGCTCTGAGAAAAAATGGCAGTTTCTAGTTCCATTGGGGCCTACAAATTTTAACGCCTGCTCTGGTCAACTTAGAGAATACATGCGTCCATGTGATGAGAGCAAGCACGGCTTCGCTTCATGCAGAGAGAAGCGTTTCTTTGAGCAAGAAGACAGGCAGAGAGAAGAGGGATTGTCGCCATCATGGTGGTCCAATAAGGTGCTACAAAACAAAGCCATTTAAAAAGAGTTTACACGTATTTGCTCTCTTCCTTTTTCTTGGTACTAAAATGAAGAATCTTGAAGTTTGGAAAGAAAAAAAGATCATTAATTCGCACTATATCCCTCACCTAGTGGATGTCCAGCCATCAGCATCAAAGTTCTGTCTGTGGACTGCCCACTGATGCTTCCAATTTGATGAATACTACTACTTATGTTTAATAATAACGTGTAATCGTTAATAATGTGATAATCATAATTACTTCGATAAAAAGCTGAAGAAATAAACCAAAAACAATACAAGACGTTAGGAATCAAAATTCCTAAATGCACTGGAATCATAGAAACCTGAGCATAAACAAAGAGGAAGAGACCAGGCAAATATACCCACCACTACCATTAAATCATATAATTCAATTGAAGTTGACACATTCTCCATCGTATTTTGATCCGTGCCTTCCTATAAATTAGACGCCGCCTCGCTAATAAATTATGAATTATAACACTCATCGTCATTAATTATTTAAGATTATTATTTTTTCTTCATCAAAATGAAAGGTATAATTGTTTCTTACATGAGAATTTTATGCGTCGAATGCATTACTCGTTAGTCGTTAATTAATATTTGCCACATATGACGCTTGATGCATGCAATTTACTTACCCGAAGAAAAAGAATACATGTAATGCTGTGATTTGGTGAGTGATTCGACGTTGGGTAAACAGAACAAACTAGTAAGAGACAAAAAGTTAGGGGAGATGGAGTGGGACTGCACATTTAGCTGTTCATGTCGTAATGAAATAGTGTATTCTGATCCCAGCAGAAGAAAAAGCAATTCACTTTACTTCAAAAAATTTAACGTGGAAGCCAGTGAAATCCATGTGGCCTACCAATAATCCGATCGATCGAATTCAAAATTCTTTAGAGTACGAGGTTTTGTAAAATGTTACAAAAAATTACAAAATTATTTTATAAAAATTACATTTCAAAATATCAAGATGCACCTGATGGTGCCGTGTGTGTGAAAACATCAGAGTGTGTCTGTCAAATCAGATTAGCCATTAAATTTGGTTTAATGTCACAGGTTCCAGTTGGAGTATATTTTTAGTACCGCTAATGCATGACGTGCAATTGAATGTTGATTCTTTTTTTTCCCCCGACTAACCATCTGAACGGTGATTGAAATGCCCTCACGATACGTTTGCGTGCAACGAGAAAGGGAAGTAAAAGTATTTGTATGATTGTCTCTCTCTCTCTCTCTCTCGCCCCTCTCAGTCTTTCGAATGTACTGTCAAGCAAACATGATATGCCACGCATCCTATAAAGTGACAAGCCCTTTCGCAGTACGTCCAAAAGGAGGAATGACCCATTGGGCCCAATTTGGACGTTGAATGCTGTAGGCCAGCAAACCCAAAAACATGACAAGAAACTTGACTTGTCACCAAAAAAGTCGACTGCATCAGTGATAGGTTTTTAACGTCAATTTCTTTGAAAATAATAATATATAAACACAAAATAATAAATCACGCGTATTTCTATTAAAAAGATCATCTATATTTAAAAATATTATTAATTTAATTTTTTCAAATATGAATATATATATTTTGATTGTTTACATGTATCATTCTATTGAAAATAATTATATTTGAGACACATTTGGTCATTAAAGGCTAAAAGGTAACCACCTCTTAAAAAAAAAATTGATTCATCACTTAAAAAATTTGCCCTTCTTGCTCGACTTAGTCCTGTCAACAAAAATATCAATATATATTATTATATTTCAAGATATTACTCTATTTAAAATTATAAATATTCTACAATACAAATTTTAAGAGAAATATTTATAATAATGGATATTTATGTTTAAAAATATAACCGTAATCTATTATATTTTTATAAAAAAAATGACAACTTTTATTTTAGAAGAGTAAACATCACGTGGAAAAACTTGTACAATTTAAATACCTGTGTTTTTTTCAGAGAGCAATTCGTGTTGTCATATAGTACATGGTGATGGGCTTGGGTGTGGCCCAGAAAGCAGAAGGAAAATGACAATAGCTCTGCCAAATTTACGGAAGCAGCAATGTCAGGATTCCGTGGTCGTAACTTTTGTCTTTAACTATATGTTGCCGACCAATTTTTTTAATGAAACATTGATTCATTAATTAAAAAAATTACAAACTAATCTAATTGATAATTAGAGACAATCTCCTGTGATCATCCACTACTTTTTTCTGAAAAAATGTTGATGATTAATCAGAGATATGAATATTACCCAGACAGTCACATACCATTCTCTATGCTTTTAGCTTGGTCTACAATATTTTGTGGGGTGTTTATCATTATCACTTCAAGAACTTCTGCACACCATCTTTCGAATCCCCCTGTTCCAACACAGTTGAATACAAGCCCATGATTAATGGTTCCTATTACCTCAGTGATGGCTGTCCCCAACAAAAATTTGGACCTATATGTCAACTTTTCTCCACCATCCAAAGCCCTTTTCTCGTGAATGATTTATGCATGTGCCATGCATCATCGAACCCCTGTAACGATACTTATTGTTCTGGCCTCTATAAAGACTTGAAAAAAAAGAAAAAGTCAATGCTGCCTGTACTGCAGGATCATTCATTAATTCATATTCGCGCTGTGGGTTTCAGGCTTTCAGGCTTCAGCTGCCGGCGCTCCTGAAATTAGCCAAGTTGGAGAGTCGAGCTGGCATGTGATCCTGACCGATGCATGCGCATGCACTCTTTCAGAAAGTCAACTTGGAAGTAGAGTCAGCTCCATTCCTCAGTTATATTCATAAAGACATGCACCCTTGTGTAGGTATATATATGGGTGATTGGACTCGGGAGTCCACAACATGCTGCCCTGCTTATTTTTGTTAGAACCATCGCAAACTCTGCACTTGATTAGGGGGCCTGAATCTATAAAGCCCTCCACTCGTGTCTTACAATTGATTTGTCTCGGATCTCTTCAAGATTAGCAGTCCCGTAGTATTGTAGTATATTATTATACTATTTAACTTCCAATTATGGCAGGTCAGTCGCCATTCGTCAACCTTTTCGTCCTAGATGGCAAATTGGAATGAGTGATTGTTACGTTAACGAAGAAAGGCATCCGACCAAAGACCGTTTCCCCCCGTAGAGATATATATATATATAATCTAGAGCACAGTAATGGCGCCATTGGCGTTGTTGATAAATTTAAGACCTTCGAAGAACCTCCCAAAACTTTGACTTTTTTTGTTCGGTTAGTGTTTGACTTATGTTGTCTGGCTCCATTCTGCTATAGCTATATCTATTGAACCGAACCCCAACGGCATTTGATGGTCCAGGGTTGGGGGGGTGTTGCGCGAGTTAGAGTTGGTTCATCTTCTATGTGATACATGGTCAACCCCCCAACAGCCACTGATCCATTCATTCTTCTCTCATTTTTTAACTACCCACTAACGACGTTCATTTATCTTCACAACAAACAATTGAGAAACCAGTGAACATCTTGAAAGCCACCCGACGCGATGTGGATACACGAACACATTTAAATATTATATAGTTCCACCTAGTTGATCTGTAGAGGGCTATAGGCAGCTTTTATTAGTATATTCAAATCCAGGACATACCTAAGGTTAATCGATATATATAAATTGCAATTAAGTGGACATCAATCTACAGTTAAACACGGGGATACTTTTATTATTCTCCATCAATCTGCTAAAATAATACTAAACAACCTAATTAGATTTTGGAAAATAACTCTTAGAACGATCAACCTCAAAATCAAAATTGTTGGCCCGTGATCCACATGCTTCTTTCAATTTTATTGATCAAACCTATTCTCGAAGATCTTTAATTAATTGAGTTTTAAATTAAGATTTGCGTATTCCCGGCCCGCTGATAATTTAGCGATGCACTAACAATTGATTTGAGCAATTGTTATGATATTCTGTATCTGTCTCTTTACAGGCCACTGGCCTTGTCTCATAAATCTCCCCAACAGCACCCTCAACTTGCTTCATGTCCAGCTTGTGCATCAGCATGGTTCCGATTCGGCTCCAATTTGCACTCATCGTGCTTCTTTTTCTCTCGTCGGAAACAACGCGGCCATGTCTTGCAGTCACTTCCAACCAAGAACTTCTGAAAGGGTTCTCTGCAGTTCCACTCTCTTCAGTGACATCCTTTCAACCTATTCTCAGCGATCAGTCTGGCAACTTCTCCCTGGGTTTCCTCCGTCTGAACCGTAACCAGCTCGCCCTCGCTGTCCTTCACGTTGCATCCTCCGAGCCTCTTTGGCTCGCCAATCCCACTCACTTGGCATCGTGGTCCCAATCCACTCGACTCTTCTTCAACGGTAGTCTGATCATTTCGGATCCTGAAACCGACTTTTTGTGGTCAACTGCCACAAACGGTGACCGCGTCGTGCTCCTCAACACCTCCAACTTGCAAGTACAGAAGAAAGGGGAGTCTAGCTCGGTAATCTGGCAGAGTTTTGACTTTCCCACTAACACCGTCGTTCAGGATCAAAATTTCACGGCTCTGGTGTCGTCGAACGGGCTCTATTCGCTGCGGATGGGGAATGACTTCATGGGTCTATATGCCAAGCACGGAGGAGGATCGGACGAGTTATATTGGAAGCACACCGCATTGGAAGCTAAGGCGGAAATAGTGGAAGGCAACGGACCCATTTACGCCCGTATAAGCCCCGACGGCTATCTGGGCATGTACCAGACAGGCACCAAACCGGTGGACGTGCAGAAATTCAACAACTTTCAACGCCCGCACCCTTTGTTTCTAATGGTACGCATAGAACCGGACGGGAACCTGAAGGGTTATTGCTGGGACGGATCAACATGGTTACTGAACTACCAGGGCATAGACGATACATGCGAGCTGCCGAATCCCTGCGGTCCCTACGGTCTGTGCACGCCGGGGAGGTCGGGATGCTCGTGTCTGGATAACCGGACGAGCTATTCAGCGAGGGGTTGTATGAAGGAAGGGTACGGAGACTTATGCGGGGAAGGGATGGCAGAAGATAAGTACTGGGTTATGAGGAGGACAGGGGTGGAGCCAGCGCATAAAGAGCTAACGAGGCAAGAGAGGGCGTCGTCGGTGGAGGAGTGCGAGGGCATGTGCGAGAAGGACTGCAGGTGTTGGGGAGCTCTGTACTACAACGCAACCGGGTACTGCTATGTGGTGGAGCATCCGATCCAGACGATGGTCGGGACAGGGTTGGAGTCCAAGGTGGGTTATTTTAAGGTAAGGAAAGGTGCGGGGGATCGGAGGAGGAGAGTAGGGCTGTCAGTGGGGATAGTGGGGGGAGTTGTGGCTATGATGGGGGTGATTGGGGCGGCAAGCTACACGATGAGGAGGAGGAGGAGGAGGAGGAGAGGGGTGGAGGAGGAGGATCGGGTAATATCCGGCCCGTATAAGAATCTGGCATCCGCAAGTTTTAGGTCGATCGAGATGAGCAGCAGCCATTGACCCGAAAGAGCAGAGAGAGAGGGAGAGAGGCAGCCAGTAATGGGGGTTGGGATGACGCAAGGGGTGACGCAAGAGGAGGGTATAATTTGACTGGCAACTGTATATGGGGGACAGGAAAGGGATGGTGGGGGGATGGGGCAAAAAGCGGGATGTTAGATAATATTCTGGTGTTTGTGGTGGTGGGTCCCGTGGAACGGGAAAAGAACCGGGATGGGCATGGATCTCGCACGGACGCACGGTTGAATTCAAAATATCAGAGGCCCAGAAAGACCATTCAGGCAATTATTGGCGAGCGAATAAGGCAGCCACGGAGAGGACAGTGTCGCTAGCCACATCCCAAGTTTCAAAGTCAAATCACGATATATTTTCGCCCTTCTCCATCAAGAACATGCTATGAGCCTCAATCACTCAATTCCATGGATCCGTTACTGCCCTCACTACAATTCCATGAATATCATGTCTCCTCCGTTGTGCTCTTCTTCATTTTGTCTGTGACAGATTTTAACTACTACTGTTTTCGTTCATGCTATTGTTTGGTGCCACTACTTAATAACTCCAAAATTTGTATAGTTCAAAACAGCCCAAGCTATGGCCTTCGTTATATCCCATCAAACTCCATCCAACATGCCGATGCCATGATAACACGTCATTCATAGAATTACCATAAAAAACTGATAAGTTGTTTCACTGCTCATAAAGCTGCATTAATTCGCAGTTCCAGCGTGACATAAATACAACCTTAATCGCTAGCGATGGTCTGGTTTATCTTTTTAAATTTCATCATACCAAGGTCACCTTATCAGTGTAGAGTCATATAATTAAATTATGAATTCTCGCATGCGCTGTACTATTTATGTTGGTGAGATTCAATTCAACAGGCGTGCCAGGGATCTCAAGTACCTTACCAGTCTACAATCAACCTCTTGAGTAAGGGAAATCAAGGATCTGAACCAAAATGGGAAAACCCTCGAAGCAAGCTAGACTTGATGTTAATAGTTCAACTAGCATCAATAGATCCGTGCGTGTGGACGCATTGTACATGACAATTAAGGAAATTGGATTATGAACTTTTCCAAATATCTTTAATATCATCCTTACATAACTACGAAGCTCCTAAATATATTATATTGGAAGGAATCAATCTTCATTGCAATGTCAAATTCAACAAACACTACTACAAAAAAGTATTTCTATTACCCTAATTTACATCTCATTTTAAAAGTTAGACTTAGAAAGAACACAATCCACGTCACCCAAGTAAAAAGAGGACGTAAATTGAAAAAAATTTATTTTAACAAAACAATTTTAATAATTCACGTCTCCTTAATTCTTGAGGGGACGTGGCTTTATAAGAGTACTTCATAATCCACGTCCCTCATTTAGGATAGAGACGTGGCTTGTGAAGAAGCCACGTCCCCCTTGAAGAGGGGCACGTGGATTCTAACAGCTCGTTGCTGCAGAAGCCACGTCCCCTTCTCCAGGGGGACGTGGCTTCTAACAGCACCAACTAGCTTTGCAGAATGCAGAAGCCACGTCCCCCTTTCAAGGGGGACGTAGCTTCATGTAGAAGCCACGTCCCTCTGCTTTCTGGGGGACGTAAGAAGCCACGTCCCCCAGAGAGCAGAGGGACGTGGCTTCTTGAGAATACACATCCCCCAGAGAGGAGAGGGACGTAGATTCTCAAATCCACGTCCCCCTCCTCTCTGGGGGACGTGTATTCTCCTTCTCACTCAATTTTTAAGCCCCGTGCCAGTCAAGTTTTTCAAAAGAACACTCAAAGTCTACTGTGCCTGCCCTTATCTCTAATCAGAGTATCATCTTTCTGCTTCTCGGTCTCAACCAAGCTTCTCGGTCTCATTTTTCTGCTGGCTCTATGTTCGTCTCTCTCAGCTTCTCATTTGCTCTCGATCTCATCTTACTGATCGCCTCTCGGTGCTTCTCAGCTTCTTGGCCAGCAGGAACAGTTGCTCTGCTTCTCGATGCTTCTCATTTCTCACCAATATTTTGGTTAGTGCTTCTCATGAATTTTCCAGCTAACCCACCGTTCTGTTTTGTTAGAAAAGGAAGTCTGTAGGACAATTAGATTTTTAGATTTTCTATGTTTGCTTTTAAATCGTGAGTATCAATAGAATTTCATCCCTGTACAGATATTATTATTCAAGCTTAACTTGGACATCTTTATGCCTGCATTCATGTGTGTGTGTGTGTGTATTCTGGTTTCATTTTCTACCATAAGCTAGAAAATGGTCTCCCTTCGTTGTTGGGGTTTGTCTGCAAGTGAAACCGAATATATGCATGATTGTGTGCTTTAATGGTTTACTTTAATAGACCTGTCACATGTTTGAATATCAAATTAACTTCAGATTGTCTTAACATAAAAAACAAAAACATGGAAAGATTAGGAAATGCTTTTAATGATTGTGTGCTTTCTAGTTACATTTTCACTAGCTAAATTCATGAGTCTGTTCAATTTGCTAGCTTTTTTTTCTGCTCTACTCAAATTCACAGTCATTTCTTATGGAGTTATAGAATGAATTTAACTCCCAAGGTCTATATTTCTCAAGCATGGCTGAAACAATATTGGTCTAGACTTGAGATCCTGTTAAACTGAATATGGAAATAGAAAATGCTATCATATGCTAGCAAAAAAAGAAAAAGGGAGTATAAAAGAGTGAATGATATTTTTGCTCATTATATATAAAACGTTATAATATATATATATATATATATAAAAGATAGTATTATATATAATATTTGTATATAATTTATATATTTATAATATTTTTTGTAAAATATTTTACTGGATTTTTTATTATTTAGGAAGGAAAACTTTTGATTTTCTTGTATTTCCTTGCTACCTTTATTAAATGTTGGTATAAGAAGTAGAATTGATTTGTTTGACATTTTTCTTCTAAATCTACGTGTTAGTGTATTTATTTTAAAGTAGAAGGGATGGGAACCATTGCTAATTTTATTTTCAAGAAAATGTTTCCTCTGGTGATAAAACTTTTTGTTTGGCCCAAGCTAGTGAATAATAGTTACTGATATAATCTATGATTTATATAATATTTCATTAATATATAAAATACATAAGAAAACTTAAATAATAATACCCTTAAATTATGTGAATTTTAATTCATTTCAGGGTGTGTAGACCCTAGGATTGTCTTTGAAGTAAAGTCTTCCCATATAAATAAATCATTTACTTTCATTAATTTTTATTTATTTATTATTATTTGCATGTGATTATAACAAAAATTAAAGTATAGTAAAAGGTTAATTTAATCTTATGCAATAAATGGGTGTTGTGAGTGTCTGACATTCTCTCTATATACAATCAACTTCCCAAACTCTTTTGCAGATCATTATAATTTTGTTTTAATGATTTTTCAAGGTTCATTGAAAACTTTAGGCACTTTTTTTCCGTCGTTTATTGATTTCCCTCTCGGATTGATGATGATGAGCTAGTTTTAAGCACATAACAACGTGTCCAATACCTTCATAAGATCCAAATGGCATGAACCACAATATTCCTGCTACAGTGAGAATACACACTCATGCCTATATTCTTTCTGGTTTTTATGATGACAAATTTTAAAAATATTGTTTTATCTTTAATATACAAGAAAGTTAAAGTAATTAATATCTTTTTAAATTTTACCCCTCGCTTATTTATTATGATTATTAATTAGAAAGAAGAGTAAAATTAAAAAATATATAATTTTAATAATTTTAATGATATAACTATCATTTTTTTAATGAATGTGAAATTGAAAAAAATGAGTCTAATTGAAGTACAAGTAAGATGGTGAATTGTTAATTTGATAGATTTTGTGATGATTTATTAGGTAAAAAAAGAATGAATCGTAGTTGGATGAATGCTAGTAGAATGACTGAGGAGTATGAGAATGGTGTGGACTAATTTCTTGAATTTGCTAGGAAAAATGTTCCTAGCAAAAATGGAAAGTATTGTTGTCCTTATGTCAACTGCATGAATAAGATTGAATTGGGTATTGATAAAATAAAAGAGCATTTAATTTGTGATAGGATAAATTTGAGGTATACAAGATGGGTATGGCATGGGGAGGCAGGAACAACTTCTATGTCCCAAAATGAGTGAATTATGAATGACTGGGATGATAGAATAGAGGATATGATTTGTGATGTTGGGATGACGTCATTTGCACAATCACATGCATATGACAACTTGCGTAGTGATGCAGAGAAACCCTTATACCGGGGTGTACTAATTTTACGCTCTTGACAGCTGTGTTGGGATTTGTGAATTTAAAGTCAAGAAGTGGGTGGACCAATTTGAGTTTTACAGAGTTACTTGAATTCTTGAGTAAAATGCTTCTAGCCTATAATTTACTTCCAAGACGTATGTATGAGGCAAAGAAAATCCTGTGTCCAATAGGTATGAATTATAGGAAGATACATGCTTGTCCTAATGACTGCATACTATATAGAAATGAGTATGAAGGGCTACACAAGTGTCCCAAATGTGGGACTTTGCGGTACAAAGTAAAAAGACCGATGATGTTGATCATGGTGATAAGATCATAACTAAAGGGCCTCCTGTGAAGGTGATGTGGTATCTTCCAATAATACCACAGTTTCAACGTTTGTTTGCTAATCCAATAGAAGCAAAGAATTTGAGATGGCATTTTGATGAGAAACTATCTGATGGAAAACTTTGACACCTAGCTGATTCTCCTCAATGAAAGACAATAGATCATATATTTCCTCAATTTGGAAGTGATTTGAGAAACCTTTGGCTTGGACTTTGTACGGATGGAATCAACCCATATGGCAATCTTAGTAGCACACATAGTGCATGGCCAGTTTTGTTAGTTATTTACAACCTACCTCCTTGGTTGTGTATGAAGCGTAAGTACATAATGTTGTCTTTGATGATTTCGGGACTAAAACAGCCAGGCAACAATATTGATATTTTCTTGGCCCCTTTGATTGAGGATTTAAAAATGCTATGGGAGGAAGGTGTAGATGTATTTGATGCTTATAAGCAAGAGCACTTCAAGTTGCGTGCCATGATTTTTACAACAATAAATGACTTTCCTGCATATAAAAACTTGTCAGGATATAGTGTTAAAGGCCATAATGCATGTCCTATATGTGAAGAAGGCACACACTACCACCAACTTAAACATGAAAGAAAAACAGTCTACCTTGGTCATCGAAGATTTCTTGATCGGTATCATCCTTACCGTAGGTTGAAGAAGGCTTTTAATGGCTCACAGTAGTATGAAATGGCTCCAAAGGCCTTAACTGGAGACCGAGTTTATCAGTGTGTGGAAGGAATCAATGTCATTTTTGGTAAGAATAAAAGGAATGTAAGTGATAAGAATCTGTAGAAAAAGAGGTCCATTTTTTTTTATCTTCCATATTGGCGGAGTATAGATGTGAGGCATAGTCTTGACGTGATGCATGTGGAGAAAAATGTGTGTAATAGTCTTATTGGTATGCTGTTAACCTCTAGAAGTTCATGTTATTTCATCACATT